TAGAACAATTAACCAGTGGAACAACCTGCCTCCAGAAGCGGTGAATGCTCCAACACTGGAAGTTTTTAAGAAGAGACTGGACAGCCATTTGTCCGAAATGGTATAGGGTTTCCTGCCTGAGCAGGGGGTTGTTCCAACTTTATTATTATTATTATTATTATTATTATTATTATTATTATTATTATTATTATTATTATTATTATTATTATTATTATTATTATTATTATTATTATTATTATTATTATTATTATTATTATTATTATTATATGCTTTATCCAGCCAATGATGGGGAACATTTCTAGGAAGGACCATACTTGCCAATTAGCTATGGCAACTTTCCTGGTACTTCATAAATACTACACTACCCTAAAGAGGTGATCACAGTATTATTCTTTAGTATCACGCCAGCTGATCACCCTTGAAAAGCCTTCAAGCTGTTCTCGAAAGTTTTATATTTTTAAGATGGAGGGGAACCCTTTCCCATTATTTCAAGAATATCTTCACTACTCTTTGTTGGACAATTTGGAGCCTGCAGCCCTCTACTTTATCTCCACTATCTCTGCCTTAAAATATGTATACAAAAATATCACAAAGAAGGAAAAGGAAGAAGAGGAGCTGCTGTGTTTCATCCCCATTTTCTCTCTGGCCAATTGTTTCTTCAATAAAATCTTAAAGCTGCTTTGTTGAATCAGTTGTCCCTGTATCTTGAATCACAAGCTCTGAATCACACCATCTGTGAAAGTTGAAGATCCAATTTGAATGGATCAGCATGATTCATGCCATTTTATGCTTCATATGTATTTGCTAATGGATACATCGCTAAGCTAACAAAGATGTTAAACGTTATTCCATTATTAAAAACAGAAACACAATTTTCCNTAATTGAGATATATGTTTTTCTTTCCTAAAGAACGTTGTGGGGGGGGGGCATACAAATTCTGCAAACAATTAATCTCTGAACTATATCATTGGTACACTTTGTTGAGCAAGGTGCAATAATTTGGCTGAACATTCCCAGAAACTCTAAGAAATGCAGTCCAAGGAAGGAATAAAGTTTACTGCCAATATTTTTGGCTCTCTGATCATGAACCACAATACTGTGACTTTGTAGTAGAACTGAATCTGAACCACAAATTCAGGATCAATCAAGGGTGCCTACCTTTTCCTCTTCTCATGTTTGCATAGCTTCATTTCAGTTTGTGCAATCAGATGATTTGATCAGATTCCTGGAGATTCAAAAGTTTATTACACATGTACTTGACACTTGACCTTCCTGGCTTCTGTGATCTGCCATAACAGAACTCTCTTGTTATGTGATGCCAGAGGGTTTGGTCCTAGCAGCACTCAAAGAGGCCATTTTGTGACTTCAAGCACAGAAATACTATATATACTTAGCTAGTTTTGGGAGTAAGCAATGTAATCCAAAAAAAACAGAGCAAGAGATAGTATGCAAGATAAATTACAGTTGTAAAAGAAGAAAAAGGGAAGAAAATATAGCTAAATCGAGATTATTCCAACTCTGTTCATTGCACTTTTCCATAAAATTATATTCTTGCAAAGCATCCTTACATCTACTATGACCATACACCACTTCATACATTGCCTTTTATTTCTTAAATTTCACCTTCCCCTTTCTCTAAATTTCACCAACTCCATTCAAATTCAATTTTCTCCTTCTTTTTCCTTCTTACTCAAATACTTGTTTTCAATTTCATTTTCATTTTCTCAATATGACAAAGCCACTTCAGTATACCACTTTCATATTAGTCACTCACTTGTTGTATTCTATCCATATTCCTTCAGTACTCATTCATTCTTGACCCTGTATATTCTTGTTTTACCACCCATACTTCTTAAGAAATCCACTCCTTTAAAGTTATTTTTAGTTTCTCCTGACATATCCTGTTCTCACTTCCATTTAATACACAGTAATTTCACTTTCTTTTCTCACAATAGACCATATATTACATATCTACTAGCATCTACACAGGGTACACATGCTCATCTACTTCCATAAGCAAAGGATTATCTGTATTTCTTTTCCCTGTTTAAACATTAAGTGCCGAACCATGCATTTGAAACAAATCAATCTCTAGATGCTACTTACTGAGGTCAAATGTAAAAGACTATCACAATCTACATTTTATAAGTGAAAGGGGGGGGGCAGAACCTTACTAATCCATTTCCAGACCAATCTATATAATCAAATATATCTTTAAAATATGTTTCAAACTGTTTTGCTTTTCTGATTAGTTCTCAGACCAGAAAGACCAGAAAAGAACTTTCCTCAAGCCAATTAGACATTTTTACAAGATTATTAAAGCTGCTCTGGGGCACAGTTTAAAGAGAAAATAAGGGAGTCAAAGGAATAAAAGTTATTTTTCTTGTTCTTGGACCTGGCTTCAATCTGATTAAGTCTTTCAATCATATTTAGGAATATTAAAATGAACTAGCACAGTATTAGTTTCTCTTCTTATTGCTTCAAGGTTTTGAGATGTACTGTCTCAATTCTTGTACCAACACATATCCAAATTGTCTTGTAAGTAATATTATCTGAACAAATTGAATTATCTATTTCTAATGTCTCCAAATTATTTTTCAAAAGAGAAGTCTTGCAGGATCCCCAGGTTTAATGAGAGTTTTTTATATTTTCTAAGACCTCCTTCCCACCGCAACCTTTGCTATTAATGAAAATTGTTCAACAATTTGCATACCTAAGTTAACTTTGCTTTACAATGTTTAGCAGCTTAACCCAAATTTAAGAACATGTTTAATAACTTCACAATATCTGGAAACTCAGACTAAGCAGATATCTGGTCCACATAGTCTTAATCTGAGCAGGACACTACCAACAAATTCAGTCTGTACATACCAATTACATTACATTGTAGGACACCTGTTGCTAACTTTGATTGGCTTGTGAGTTGTATTGGCTTAAAAAGGTATATGCCTTCACCGTTAAACATGAAAACTATATTAATTTTACATGGAAAGTTTTGTAGGTGAAGTGTTATTTTAATCCTCTTTTATTATCACATTCCTTTCCTAAAATCTGCCTACAGCTTTTCCCCCAACTTTAATAATTTCAAAAAACTTTAGTAGCATATTTTCAGAAATACCCATAAGTATATATCTTCATTTCAACATGCTCTAAGAAAGCGAGTAAATTAAAAATAAATCAAATCAAGAATGAATAAATCATCAGATACGGTGGGTGCCCAGAAACAAAGCACAGTTGTAATAATCCTAAAACACTGACAAGAACTTGCATTTAGGTTCATTCACTGGAAGTATAGAAAGATTTTCTAATAACCGTAAAGTGGCATGATTCATTGTGGAATTATATTGCTCAAAGTTGTACTAAGAAATATTAAACAGCACTTTAACATTAATATTTATAAAAATATGTATTTATAATATTTATCATATTAATGTATCCCTTCTTGATGTCTTCAAGCTTGTTTTTTTTGCAAATATTTTATTACTTTCAAGTTTTACAATCATAAGTAGTTAATAAACAATGCGGTGTCTGGGTTCCTTTGTCATTCAGTGGTACATATTAACTTTCCCTCAAAATATCCAATACTACATCATGCAGTATTTCCCTGGTCCTGTCTTCTTCTAATAATAATCATTTTTCCACACTAGGCAAATACAATTCTTACTGTTATTAATACCTATACAATTAAATATAAGCATCTTCATCACATTTTTCTAATGTTATACATAGTGTCAATAATATCAGTTTATAATATCTTCTCTAGCCAAAACATATCTCAGATGTATTTGCAATCAAAGTTCCCTTATTCAATCTGTATCCTGGTTTTTTTCTCTTTTTTTCAGTTTTTTTTGAAACACATTTTATTGGTTTTTTAATTCTTAAGACAAAGTGCTTGAGACACACCGTGGTGCTGGGGTAATCAAAAATCCAAAAACAAAAGATATATAAATAACTCAATCAATACATCAAATATTCCCTCTTTATTTCCCTCAAATTGCTTAATATATTTAGAATAGTCCATTTCTAATTTAAATTTCTATTAATCCTAAACCTGTTTTAGAGCTTTATACAATTAAAATACCATAATCAAATTTAACTTTAAATAAACACATTATCAGTTCAAGTATCCCTTCCAAATATATCCTACTTCCTTAATTTTATCTTATTTATTTCTTCTTCCACTAATATCTCCCAATTAAAATAAAATATTGATCTATCCTATACATATCTAATTCATCAATCAATCAATTTCTTTAAACTGACAAAATAATATCAACCTTAAATCATTTGAATCCATTAGACAAAATTCTAATTTCATCCAATTAATTATCATACCTAATAACATCCATATTATCAAACAGACACATCATCTTATTAAAATAACATTCCATTAGTTATTAGTTCAATCCCGATCTAAAACACCTTTTCAATTTTCTTCATTCCATTATATAATAGTTTTCATACAAATAAACCTAATATTCCAAAAACTACATTCTTATTCTATTTAATATATATATTCTAATAATCACCCATTTTCCTTACTTCTAACTCAAAAACGTAGTCCTTAAATCAATCCGTAGTTCTAAAATGCCTTGAATCCAGTATGTATGACTTAAGTTTCTCTTTTCAGTCTTATTCTAGGCTTCTTTTTATGCCAAACAGGTTTCCATAACAGAGCTTCCCTTTTAGCCGATAGGTCTCTCTTTGTTGCTTGTAATACCATTTGAGACAGTAAAAAGCCTCCTGTCCTCTGCATTGGACCTCTATTTCTCTTATCCTTGAAGCCTCGCTGCTTTAAAAGTTCAAATCTCACTCTTTGCTTTTTCTGATCCTCAAGAATGTAGATAAGATACTTGTAAGGTAAAATAAATTCCTCTGCATTCTCAATGAAGTCATCTTTTAGTGTATTTTGGTTTGTAGAATAGTCAAATGTAGTCTGAGGGTCAATTTTAAGATCTGAAGGAGAGTTTCTGGCTCTTAATTCTGTGGTAGTCTCTTTCATTGTAGCAAATTCCTCTTTAGTCTCCCTTAGTTCCTCTTCTGGTCTATTTTGGTTTGTAGAATAGTCAGATGTAGTCTGAAAGTCAGTTTGAGAGTTTGGGGTAGAGTTGGCTCTTCGTTCTGTAGTATTCCCTTTCATTTTGGCACAGATTTCTTCAGTAGGCTCATAAATCTTTTCCAGTATAAGCTTACAGTTTAAGTGAGAGTAAAATTTCTCCATTTTAAAAGTGATTAAAGAAGGTTGGAGTTATTGTTTGTGGATTGTTTGGCTGTTTCATAACATCCTGAATAGCTGAGGTGCTGACTGTGTGCCCATTAGTCTTTTGTGTTGTAACGACCTGGGTAATGGGCTGTGTGATGACCTCCTGAGATCTAGTGTAGTGATATCCTGAGTTCTGTGTTGCAACATCCTGGGTGGTTGGCTGTGTTGTAACATCCTGAGCTTTAGCGTTGTAATCTCCTGAGTTCTGTGATGTGATGTCCAGAGCAGACGGCTGTGATGTAACATACCGGGCTTTGGTTTGGCTCCGAGTTTGCGGTCTAGCTCTGTGTTCATGGCGTGTGTCCGTTTGCTTTGTGTGGGGGACAGAGGGAGGTGCAGCAGCTGGTGATGTTGTCGTGGTTTGGCTTCTGGATAGTGGTTGCATTTCGTCTGAGGGATGGGTTTGGGCTTGGGTTTGGGTCGGGTGAGGGTGAATGGTGGTGGCTTCCTCAAAGATTTAGTAGGTTGGCCAGCATTCCTCCAAATATTAATTGCAGGGAAATAATGGTGGGAAAGGATTATGTCTTCAATTTATTTGCAAGCACCCCAGAGGTATGTTTCTACTATGAGAAACAAAATGCTGATCTAAGATGCATCTCATTCTGATCCAGGACAGCCTTGGGTCATTAACATAATCCAGCAAGATTATGTGGGATAATGTTATACTTATGTTATATCTGTTACTTTCCCACTGAAGTGGTGTCTATATACCTAGTTGCACTTGTACATGCTTTTGAACTGTTAGGTTGCCAGGAGCTGGAGCAAGTAACGGGAGTTCACTTCGTTACGAAGCGATAGGAGTCAAACTTCTGGAGCATAGACCTTCTCCGGTGTCTATTAAGCCACTGAGCTACCATGCCATAAGCTCTGCACTGCGGCGTGATGTCATGCTAGTCACATTACCATAGAATTGTCTTTGGACAAAGCTGGCTAAATGGCTTACAGCAGGGGTGTCAAACTCGCAACATCATGTGACGTGTTGCAACATATCGTGACTTTTTTTCTATTGCTGGCAATGGGGTGGGTGCAGTTTCGGCATGACGCATCTGGCCCGCAGGCCAGCAGTTTGACACCCCTGGCTTACAGAAACAGAGATGAGCACAACCCCCTAAAATCAGCTACGACTAAGGGAGTAAAACCCACAGGAACACCTTTATATTATATCTATTTCCTTAAGGACTAAAGTGAGGAACATCTGCTATAATTGTGCAGTGCTTCAGCTTAAAGACAAAAAGTATTTCACAAGTCACAGAAGAATAAATATAGCATCTCTCTGCAATTACTTAAAGCAGACTCATGTTTTTCCATGATCACTGTATCCTCCACAGTTATTCTATTGTTTAGGACAGGATTCCCAAACTGTGAAGTGTACTTCCCTTGGGGAGGTGCAGACAAAGTTCATGGAGATGCGAAGAACCTTTTAGTTATATATTGTTATATTAAACCCATCTCTCCCAAAGTTTCCCTGTATTGTTTTCAATCTTCATATGTGTTCATTTTGGTGTTTGGATTTTTAGGTGATATGAGTGCATTAAAATTACACTGAAGAGAGGGGTGATGGCAAAAAGCTTAGGTTTAAGTCAAGGTGTTTTTTTTAAAAAAAAAATCACTCAAGCTTGTAAGTGCATCAGGAACTGGGTATAGGTTAAAACAAGAAAGCATTTTAAGAATCTTCCCAAAATTATATAATAAGCCACGGAGATCCATGTATAAGCATTTGGATTCCACATTAAATAGGCAGGGAAACTTCTATACTATTTCATGAAATGACCAAGAGGGAGTAATTTACCTGGTCCTGGAGAAAAGGTAAAATAGTCGTCTGGATAAAAGTAAATAGAAAAAGCCTTCCAAAAAGGAAGGTATATTCTACAATCAGCCTATGCTTATAAACTTAATAAGAAGACCATTTTTAAAAAAGACATTTTTAAATGGAAAACTGAATGTCTAACTTGGGGACTGCACACCAGACCTAAGGAAAATAAACAGTGAACCTTTTCTTTATGGTATAATGATACAAATTTACTTAAACAATTGGAAGGGAAAGAGGATAGTGTTTCAGTTAAAACTTTCTTCAGATAAATCATCTGTGAATGAATTTATCACACCATCTGTTGGAAATAAATCATGCAGTCTTCAAGGCCACAGAGAAAACTACAGCCATAACCCAGGCATTTAAACAGAAATAACTGGTCTGAACCCCTTAATCCTTATAGCACTATTTACTTTTACACTTGGAGAAATTTATTTGATCTTGCAAGTGAAAACATGAATTAGTTTGTGCTTACAATTATGAAATCTATTCTAGAAACCTAGTGTTAATCTCCCTCTAAAACATATAATCCAAAAATTGTTTGTATTAGGTATTACCAGTACAAACTATAGAAACACATACAGGAATTTGCTTGGAATCCCTTTCAAGACAAATTTGATTTTAATCTGTATCTATTCAATAGAAATTGATATTTAATAACATCTAATTAACTGAGGAAAAAATATGCCTCATCATACCATTCAATTCTTTTAAGTGAGAAGAATCAAAATCACATATAACCCAACAAAAACAGTATATACCATCCTACACATATACAGTATAATCATTTGCTTTTTACTAGCAGATATACTTGCCCACTAATTGTTAACTAAATTATGTATGCAAAATGGGATTACAAAAATAGGAAGCAAACATGTTAGGAAAAAAATCCACTATCCACCACCTTCCCCAGTCATTTTTTGATGAAATATATGTATGACTATGCGCAAATATTCAATTGTTCATTGCTGATGTTGTATTCTGCTATAGATCTGTCCCTATTTCTCAATCTTTGCAAAACCATAGCAAGTTATCCTTTCTGATATTTTCAAATCAATGAAAATGGGGCAACCTGAGAGACTAAAGGCTGTTGGTGTGAATATTCTCTAGTAATAATCCATAATGATGTCTCTTGGCTCTTCATAACTAAAATTGGTGCAAGAAGGTCTGAAATTTCACTTGAATTTAAATCCATATTCTTCTCCATGAAATAAAATGAGAGTGATTGTTACTTGCTTTAAACTTCCAAGTCTGTCCTTCAGCTCTAGAATGTCTTGCCCCATCTTACCAGATCCAATCCTGCTTAACTTTTTCAAGATCAAGCAAGATCAGCTAGGTGATAACAGATTAATAGAATAACAGAATTGGAAGGGACCTTGGAGAACTTCTAATTCAACCCACTGCTCAGGGAAGAAACGCTATACCATTTCAGGCAAATGGTTATCCAATCTCTCCTTAAAAACCTCAGTGTTGGAGCACCCACAACTTCTGGAGGCAAGTCGTTCCACTGATTAATTATTCTAACTGTCAGGAAAATTCTCCTAAGTTCCAGGTTGCTTCTCTCCTTGATCAGTTTTCATCCATTGCTTCTTGTCCTGTCTTCAGGTGCTTTGGAGTATAGTTGATCCCCTCTTCTTTGTGGCAGCCCCTGCTATCATATCATCCCTAGTTCTTCTCTTCATTAAACTAAACATATCCAATTCCTGCAACCATTCTTTGTATGTTTTAGCCTCCAGTCCTCTAATAATCTTTGTTTTACCAAGGCATTATAAAGTGGTACTAACACTTCATGTGATCTTGATTCTATCCTTCTGTTAATGCAGCCTACGACTGTGTTGGCTTTTTTGGCAGCTGTAGCACAAGGGAATGATGCCACTTGTAAAGGTTGTTAAATGTGGTACTCATCACCCCACCCATAAAGATAGTGGATTCCTGACAGGGAAAGAAAAGTTAATAAATCCCAAGGAGGGTGAAAATTTATTGGAAAAAGTGTGGATAAGATGTTTTAAAGAGAGCCACATGAAACAAAGCAAGCTGTTCAAAAAAAGCTGTTGATGGTGCAATACCAAATCCATTGGAAGATGCTTCTGAATATATAGGGCTTATTTCCTATATAACTTCCTGCCTTTTGAGTGTATGACACTTAAAGGTTTCCCTCAACCTTAAAAAAAGCAAAGGAAAGAGTCAGTAAAGTATTTTTAACAAAAAAGAGAGAGAAAGGCAGTCAATGGCTGCTCTCTGATCAGTCTTGCATATTTCTACTGATTGTCCAATTGTAATGATCCTTGTCATAACACCTACCTTTTTCTGTAAAACATTAATTTTTCTTTCTTTAACTTCTAACATGTCCTTCATATCTCGAATTTCTCCAGCTAGAGTTCCTTTTTCTTCTGTGAGGTCTTGCAGTTGTTTGGTTTTTTTATTAAGAAAACTTTCTTTTTCTTCTAAACGTAATCTCAAGGCATCAACCTATAATAAAATATGAATATATAAAAATATGGAATAATAGTAAAATATCACAACAGTAAGCCAATTGAACATATTTTACATAATGTTACTATACACAGACAGCTAAAGCAACAACTATTACCGGTAGTTGTAGAGTTTCAAACTGGAAAAACAACCAATGAGATAATTTTCCCAAAAAAATAACATTTTTTAAGCATTCCAAAAATGAAATTTTAACTCACTGTTGATAATACCTGTATTATCAGGTATAAACCTAGTGACAACAGGATCAAAAAATTTAAATGTCCAGTTTTGAACTCAATGTGATCATTTATCTATATTTATTGTAATCATTATGAAATAATGTACAATGTTAAAGGATCATTTGAATTACAATCATGTCATATTTTACTAAATAATAACTGCATAAGATGAATTTCACATGCTTGGTTAAATGCTTTAATAACCAAGTCAATACTTCTAAAAAGGAATGGCACAAAAAAGCAGACCAGTAATTCTATTTGTATTCATTATATCTTCTTCATTTGGGAACAGCATGTTGTACAAGAAAAAAGTCTGTGAATAAAACTGATTTATTCTGGTTGGGTTTGTTCTTTTTTTTTTTTTTTTGTACTGAGTTTTGTAATGCTAAACTTGTTCTGGAAAAAAAAACATCTTCGCAAATCTATTTTTGCAAATCAGTTTGGGACCAATTTGGATGATCTATTCGATCTCAAGATGCATGTTCCTTCCGGTTCCTGAAATGGCTCAGTTCATCTCTGTACTCAAGGGAAAAGTTATATACTGAGTTGAATGGAATTTAGACATTTTATCATTAAAGACCCCTGACAAGGACATCATCAGCCTCACATTTTTGTTATAACAGTGGAAGGAATGCCCCAAATAGTGACTTTAGGAGACATAAAAATACCACTGATGATTAAGAATCCTTTTCTTAAACAAACAAATGAAATAGACTAAGTGATGACCAAGAAATAAATAGGTGAGGCTGCAAGAGAAAAGATTAAAATTTATTCCTCAATTAATTAAAAACATATACACATTGCCCCTGGAAATGGCTAGCCAAATATTTTCAAAGCTATTTCAAGCCTTTAATTGATATTGTTCCCTTAAAATTGAAGATAAAATATTCTAAATCAGTCGCTTATATCCTTTTGGAACTATGCCATCATTGGAAAAAAGAAAAACAAAGAAAATTTAAAAAATGAGTAAATACAATCCCAAGCATTTTTGAGGTTTATCTGACTTAAGTTCTAAAACATAAAAATATTTCATAGTGGATTTTTTTTCATTCAAGTTTTTCTCCCCTAATTTTCTTTTAAGCCTAATAAAGATGGACTGGGTTCACATATTACATGAATGTATGGTTTGCTTTAATCATGATTTTGTTGAATAAGTCATACTGGCTAATGTTCATACATTGAACATTGTGGCATAATAGTAAGCCATAACCTGAAGCCAACTAACCACAATGTTTGGCATCACACAATTTGTTAACTCAAAAGTAAGCAAGACATAGTCTTAATGCAATGTATGCTCCCATCTGCTATTCTCAAGTAATTTCAGGTTATTTTACAGCACAACCTGCTGTAAATCTTATCAAGAATGATCAGCTCAATAAGGAACTCAATTGATTTTATTTTGGTAAACAAATATAGATTTTGAACTGTAGTGGTTGCTTTAAAAATAAATGGTTCTCTAATGAAGTTTGACATTGCTCTTATGGAGGCATTGAACTGTCCATATTTTTAAACTGTGAGATCTAATCTTCATATCTGCACTAAGGTTTAAAACTACTACTTTTTGATAAAGCTCACTATAGCAGCCATTATTGTACTCTACTCTTAGATTATATTTTTATTTATTATTTTTCCTTGCCATACTTTTTTTTCAGAAAGAGAGTAGGATGAAAAGGCTTTTTTTACCAGTTTTTCCCCTAAATGCAACATAAACTGGACTTGAAATCCATTTCCTAGTTTGTGCATCTCTACAATTGGCCCAACCTTTACTTACTTAATTTCCCAGATGTAAAGCAACCAAAGACCTGTTGCACAGTTGCCTTCCTAAAGCAACATAAAACTAAGAGTAGTTCTGCCACAAAGATATGAAGCAACGAGTAAGATAGTATCACTGGGGAACAGTTAGTCTATATGCAGACTCTTGTGTGTGGTCTAGCGTGTGCAGACATATATTTTCATGTACAAATGAGATGTGGAATGCTAGTTATTCTCTCAGCCTATAATTTCTCATATAACTCTGTGCAAATGGGGGTGAGAGAGAAAGAAAGAGAGAGGAAACAAGAAAAAGAGCAGGAGAGAGAATGGATTTCCCAGCAACCAACCCTTTTTTTTGCCTGAATTGTATCCAGCCATCTCCAGGAGGGAAATCAGTTATATGCTAAGCAAGCATTACATCATTTTTTTTAATTCTTCACTGATGAAGGAAATGTAAAAACTGAAGAACAGCTGAAAATGACATTTTCACTTTGCAAAAAAAGAGAAAAAAACTTTAATAAGATGCTAACCATACAAAGAAAAAAAATCTACCCATTCTTCAATAAGAAGAGCAAGATAAATTGAATGAAAACTATCACACTTTTGGTACTAAAGATTATAGCACAGCTCAACCTCAAAAGTTAAAGAGAGGTATGGGGAAAATTTTAAGTGTGATTAAAGGGGTGAGTTAGAAATTCAATTTCAATTCAAGCTAAACTAAAAGATCTGCACTAGTAGGTGGATGAAAAATTTATTATCCTGTCTTTGACACCTCTTCACTATTCCGACCCAGTTAGATTTATACTGAGTTCTCCTTAAATTCTACACATTGAAATACATTTAAAATGTATATTTTGGAGAAAAAAACTGTACTTTGATAGTAGTACTAGGAGTATTTAATATGCACTTATGCTTAATGGAGTACAATTTTGGACAAGGATTTTTTAAAAAAATATCTAGGATTTTCATGAAACCTTTTAAAGAATTTTATGTTTCTATGATGTCCTATGCTTACCATGGGGTATGAAGTTATTTTTTATTGTTTAATTGATTTGGCTTTGCTAGGAATGAATCAATCCAAGATACTAAATCTGCTTTCCATCAAAGCATACACTCTGTTATTTTTCCAGCAATCTCTAACAATTGACTAAGAGGACAGAAAATGGGAGTGAACTCTAGTTTGTCAATGTGCAAATGTATATTTTTAAAAAAATCTCAAGATAACAAAAGCATGGGTTAATACTGTATCCTTTGTAAAGTGCACCCTGATAGGGGTTTTGTTTTGTTTTGTTTTATTTTGGTCATCACATCATGATGGCTCAGGAGCAGTGGTGGGATTCAAATATGTGAACAACCGGTTCTTTGTGTGGATGCTGCTTCTGGAAGTCTGTTCTGCCGAACTGGTG